CTCTCTCTCTCTCACACACACACACACACACACACACACACACACACACACACACACACACACACACACACACACACACACACACACACACACACACACACACACACACACACAGGCTTCACGCGGTCGCTGCTGAGCACGCTGCGGCACTTTGAGTTTGGCGGGCTGGAGCAGACCTTCCGCGTGATCGGCTCCACCACCATGCCCATCCTCGTGGTGTGGGGCAACCGCGACATTGTCGTCCCCTTCCACAACCTGGAGCGCATGCGGGCCCTCATGCCCAGCGCCAAGACGTGCGTCATCAACGACTCGGGCCATAGCGACATCTTCGCCCACGCCGACCACGCAGCCCAGGTCCGCGAGGCCATTGTCGAGTTTATCACCTCCGCGCCAACCTCCCCCAGCGTCCACTGAGACGCGACCTGTTTGTTCGTTTGGTTGTTTGTTTGTTTGTTTGTTTGTTCGTTTGGTTGGTTGTTTGTTTGTTTGGTTGTTTGTTGAGTGTGTGTTTGTTGGTGTTTGTGGGTGGGTCTCTCTCTGCCTCTGTCTCTGTGCCTCTCTGTGTCTTTGTCTGTCTCTGTCTCTGTCTCTGTCTGTCTCTCTGTCTCTCTCTGTCTGTCTGTCTCTCTGTCTCTCTCTCTCCTCTCTCTGCCTCTGTCTCTCTGCCTCTGTCTGTCTGTCTCTGTCTCTGCCTCCGTCTCTCTGTCTCTGTCTCTGTGCCTCTCTGTGTCTGTGTCTCTCTCTCTGTACCTGCATACTTTTGCGTACACAGTGTGTCGTGCATCCACAGTGTTAACTGTACGCTGTTTGCGTGCGTACGCTGTGCAACGCACTGCGCGCCTTATTGGCATATGAGCTCTTGTTTCCCTTGTCCAATACCCTTCCTTAAATCCTGCCTTGCATCCCTCGCTGCAAGAGCGTGTCGATTCCTACCGGCTTCCTGTTCCTCTCTCCACATTGCTTATTTGCAGTGGCGAAGAAGCCACACTCTCATTGTTCATTTCATGTTGACGCTTCCTCTTGTCCCCGCCCCCGCCTCCTTATTCCTCCAACTCCCCCTCGTCTTGCGCTCGTCTGATATCACGTCTCCTACCCTGACACATCGTGTCGCGTTACACTTTGGCGTGAGAATGCACGGAGCCTTTGGCTGCCTTTGCGCTGCCATTTACGCGTTGCTCAATACCACAGCCGCAGCAGCGAACGTGTGACGACTAGGGAGGTGGGTGAGCAAGGGGTGGGTGGATGAAGCGATGACAAGGAGCGGAATGGGAGTGAAGAACAGTGGAGATGGAGAGGGTGTGTGTGTGGGGGGGGGGGCGGATATGAAGGCTGAACGAGAGCGCGAGGAGAAAAGAGGAGTAGGACAAGGTCGGGGACAGGCGTTGGATGGGTGGCGCTCCCGCTGACACGAGCAGGCAATAACGAGATTCAACAAGGGTACAGCACACACCGCAGCCGAAGAGGGGAGCAGTGCGCTCAATGCCTCCTTCATGCGTACATGCGTACATGCGTACATCTATCTCTTTTCGCCGAGGCACGCCACAACACGTCACGAAATGTAACGTAACACCCATGTTGCACGGGCTGGTGTGAAATGACACAACATAGCTTGTGTCACATCTCACATCACATCATGTCACATCACATCACATCGCTTCATCTGATCTTCTTCCGCCCAGATGATGCAGCCGCGGTGCTGTACCACCACCACGCTGCAATGCCAATGAAGATGACAACAAGCCCCACTGCGCACGCCTCCATGGTGATGATGTCTTGCCATCGGTGTGGGAGCTCCGATGGCCGGTGCCCAACGACCTTGATCACGTCGATGTAGAACCGCAGGTGCACGTTGGGAGGCACCTGGGGCGGTCGGCCCTCTGCGCCAAAGGCGAGGCTGGGCGGGATCACCACCATCCGTCGCTCGCCCTGGCACACGCCCTCGAGCGCATACTGCCACCCCTTCACAAACGTCGGCTCCCCCATCGTGTACTCCATCTCCTGCAGGGTGGATTGTGTGGCGAGAGGGGTGAGAAGTCAGGGGGGGGGGGTTTGAAGGGTGGGAAAGAGGGAAGTGCTGGGCAGAAGGGAGGTTAGGGTGGGGAAGCAAGCACACCCACACACATACGGTACGTTGACGCACACAGACAGACAGACACACACACACACACACGACAGACAGACAGACAGACAGACAGACAGACAGACAGACAGACAGACACACACACACACACACACACTCACACACACACACACACACACACACACACACACACACACACACACACACACACACACACACACACACGCACGCACCTCGGGCTCTTCCGTGAAGCGGCGCTTCTCCTCCTCGATAAAGCCAACAAACTGCAAAGTTAGGTGATCACCCAACTGCACGGGCTCGCAGCTATCTGGAGGGCGCTCAAGCACCGCCACATGCACGTACTTGGACCTGCCATCACTCTTCCTCGTCGTCGCCTCAGCCGTCTCTGAGAAGTTGGTGGATGGGACGAGCAGCGTGGTCGCAGGTGAGAGCAGTAATGACAACAGACGTGAGCGCAGCAGTGGAAAGAACGAAGATCAAGCAAAGCAGCAATCGCGCGCGATGCATGCGCAGGAGACCCGCGCGCTCGCACCTTTGCTGGCCAAGCACGACGGCGAACGGGAAGACAACAAGAGCATGGCGACAAGCGCCACAGTAGTGGCAGTGGCGGTTGGGAAGGCGCTCATCGTTGGGGTTTGTTGTGGTTTGGGGATTCTCTTGTTTGTTTGTTGTTTTTTCTGTCTGTCTCTGTGTTACATGTCTCACTTGGGTGAACGCTGTTGCAGTGTGACGTTGTGTCACGAGAAGACGGTGATGGCTTTCTTGTTGTGGCGGGTTCTGTTGCACTTCGCTTACACTCTGTTAATCATGTCATGCGAGGAATCGAACACCAGCCATACACACACACACACACACACACACACACACACAACACGTTCACGAGAACCGCGCCAGCCTTGCCATCATCTGTGCGGTTGTGGCTTCAGCCACGGGTACTGCCGGCGTATTCATCATCGCCGCCGCCGTGGTTGCCCTCTGTCCCGAGGCGTTCCTTCGTTCCCCGTGCTGCTGGCGAGCGCTTCCTCTGCCGCTACCGCCGCTACCATCCCGCCCTCTTTTTGACGCACTGCTCGTTGTTGTATGCATGCGCATGTTTCATGTGCAAGCAACGGCCATGAGAGACAAAAAGAGGTTTTTCTTCGTCCGCTGCACACACACACGGCTCTAACAAACTCTCAGCACCCTTTGCCCGCGTCACACAGCAAACCCAGTGCCATCGCACCTATCACATCGCGTGCCCATGATGGAGAGCGGCCGTCCCTGGTTTCGCCTGCTCGTGTGCAATGGGCGCGACCTGCAGCAAACACACACACACACACACACACACACACACACACACACACACACACACACACACACACACACACACCATGCGTGTGGAGCGTTGGAGGCAACAAAACACCAACCAAAGCATGCGCCTCCCGCCTCCCCACCAACGTCAAACCATCCCTCCTGCTCGCACATCCCCAACACACCTACGCACGTGTCTGCTGCTCTGCCACCGCTGCCACCCCTCAGGTGTTGTTGCTGCACGGGGGCGGGGCCAATGGTGAAGGCGAGGTTGATGTTGGACACGCTGCGCTGGCGCGCAGACCCAGCAGGGCGCTGAGTCGCCGACCTAACCCAAATGTGCGTGAGTGTGCGTCAATGTGTGCGTGCATGTGCGTGTGTGAGTATGTGTAGAAATATGTGAATATGTGCGAGTGTGTGTGTGTGTGTGCGTGAATATATGTGTGTGTGATTCGTGCATGTGCGCAAGCAGACAAGACAACAAGAAAGCAACACACGGGCGAGTTACATTCAACATGAGACACGCATCATATTTACAAGAAAGTACACAACACAAACACACACATACACCACAACCACAAGTCACGCACCCAGTGCCGCGGGCTCTGCGAGCGGACGTGACGTCGCGCCGGCGGTGCAGCCCACGAGATGCAGAGGCAATGCGCGAACTGGCAGACCTGTGCACCACACACGCACACACACATGCACGCGTGTCATGTAAACAAACGTGCCAGCGACTAAACACGGCAAAGACAAGAACAACATGCACCAACAACTCTGCCGCATCCACTGTTGCTCACGAAACCCCCCCCCCCCGCCCCCCCGCCCCCCGGCTCCACCACTGCACGCACCATCGCTGCTGTTGCTGTGAGGAGGTTGGCCGGCCGCTTGGTGGGCGCTGCACCAGCCCACCGAGAACTCCACCTCTTGCCCCTCCACCAGCAGCATTGGTGGTGCTGGTGTTGCTTCCTCGCCGTGTCGGGCTGCCCCGTGGGTTGTGTCGCTGCAACAATATTGCGCTCATGCTGCGATCGCTGTATTGCCGATCCCGCTCGTCCTGTCTGAACCCATCATCACAACCACCACCACCACCGACACCAACACCACCATTGCCAACACCACCATTGCCAACACCACCATCGCCATTGCTCTCCTCCTCCTCCTCCTCCTCCTCCTCCTCTGTGCTTTCCCTGAGCGCCTGCTGTAGCGCAGGCTCAAGTGTGGATGACAGCGTGGCCTGGAGCGATGAACGCGCAGACCAGTTCTTCACGTCCATGTCCTCTGCACCAGGTGGCGGTAGCGGTGACGTGTGCGGGTGTGTGGGCGACCGCAGCAGGAGCGCAGAGCCTGGCCGCGAGGAGCCGCGTGAAGAGGAGCGAGACGACCGCGCTGATGTCCGGAATACCGGACGCGGGTGCTGGCGGTGCTGGCGATGGCGCCCTTTATTTGTGTCGCGCAGAACAGCGGACAGCAGCTGCTCGCCTTTCAGCTCGCTGCCACCACTGCTGCGGCGGCCATGCGGCCACACCACATGCACATCGTCATCCAGGAAGCTCTCGTCCACAGTCAACCCGCCATCAACACGACCATTGGTGCACATGTCACCATCACCACCATCACCGCCACCATCCGCAGTGTCTTCCTCGTCTTCAACATCCTCATCTTCACACTCCTCCCCTTCGGCTTCATCAAACGCTGCAACCCCGGCATCGAAATCATACCCTGACGGAACATCCGTCCACCCACCGTCATCATCGCCACCACCGCCATCATCAGCATTACTACGTCCATCACTCACATTACTCCTGTCACTCCAATCACCCCGATCACGCCGGCCGCCTCTTGCCCTCTGCCAACTTCTTCTCCTCGCTTTCCTCCAGCTGCCGTGTTTCCCATCGTCGGCAGCAGCGACGGGTGGGCGCGGGCGTCCGCTCGCCGCCAATACGACTGTACGCTCCGACCCAGCGCTGCCGGCCTCGCTGCCGCGCGTTGTGCGACCGCTGCTGCTTGTGCTGCTGCCTGTGCTCACCACGCGCCGCAGCCGCTGGCCCTTTGCCACTCGTTCCCGAGCCCTCTCCAAGTCGTCTTCACGCTGCTGTTTCCGCGGTGTTGGTGCCGATGATATCGCTACCGCGCGAGCTGCCCTCAAGTTCCCGCTACTGTCCTCACCCGCTTCCACATACTCCGCCACCACCACCTCCTCTCCTTGCTCCTCGTGTCCTTGCTCTTCTTGTTTGCCTGCAGGCACGCCCAACCGATGTGTCGCTGTGGTGGTGGTGGTGGTGGTGGTGGTAGTGGAGCTGGCGCTGCCGCTGGCCTGTGATCGGGAGCGTGCTAAGCTCGGCAGCTGGTGTCGCCCCTTTGGCTTCGTCGGCGCCATGTAGAACTGGTTCTTTGACGTGAAGCTGGTTGCGTGGGAGGACGGCAGCTGGCGCGTGCGTGTGCTGCCGCTCTGCGCGCGAGCCAGAGCCTCTTCCCCAATCGTCTGCAGGAACTCCACCCCTGTGTGCATGTGTGTATGGTTACAAGGGGAAGCCCGCACGAAAAAAATACAGGGAGAAGCGCACACGAAGAACACGGAAGGAAGCGCGTGCAAAGATACAGAAGGAAGCGCGTGCAAAGATACAGCGGTTGCATCATGCATACACGTGTGGACAGCAGTAAGCTCTTGCAGAGCACGCAAACACACACACACTCTCTCTCTCACAAACACACAGATACACACAGATACAAACAGACCTCCCTCCCTCCCCACACACACACATGCACACGCAGGGAGCGCACCTTTGCCTGGGCTGAGGTGGTAGCGCTTTGACCATTCGCAGAGGAGCATGTTGTAGTACCGCGGGGTGTCCATGAAGCGAAAGTGTGATTCAAACGTCGGTGACGGCACAAGGCGGTCCAGGTCGCCCTTGCGAGCACACTGCAGGTGGCAGATGTTAATGGTGGTGGGAACGAGAGATGGAGGTGAGGGCAGCGCGAAACCCATCGTAACCCTCACTCGGACACACCA